TTATAGCTCCACATGCTCAGAGCACGTGGAGCGAAGGCTCGCGCTGCAAAACCCAGGAATCCTGGGTTGAATACCCATCCTGTTGCACGTTTCAATCTAAATAAGCATTGTACCGGCGTCCGGTCGTGTATCACTATTGAGTGTTGCACGTTAAAGTACCCAGGCTAGCGGTTGTGCTCCACTGGCTAAATTCCACATCTACAGCTGGGAACACAGTCGCCCGTTGAGGCAGACTAAGCAAATACCGTGAAAGCCAATACTGGCAACTCTCGCGGAAAACGGGCGAAAAGTGATTGCAGCGCCCCTGGCGAGCTCGGAGTCTCCGCTGGCAGACAGATTCTCCAAAATGCATTGGTTTTGCCTATCTCCGTGCGAGGTGACCAACGAAAAAAAATTGTCACAGACATTCGCTGCTTTGAAAGTTAAAAAATGGGTGCCAGCTCATGAGTGAAGGACATTCTCTTCGCGTATGAAAGATGTTACAGCTTTCTGGGTGCAATTTCGGAGTTCTCCCGAAGAAAACATTCTGTCACAACTTATGTAAGCCAAGCAAAACACGAATGTATGCCTTCGCGCTGTTTCGTGAAAAAGGGAAATGTACAAACATTTCAGAACATAGCTTCGTTTCAACTTTATTGGAATTCTTATCAGTCAATTCGTTTTGTCGTTGCAATTCCCATTTCTTATGAGTGTCTTGCTTATAACCGTTTCGTCGAACAGACGAGCTGGCTCCGGATGAAGAAGCAGAAGTCAATTTCGAACCACGTACGTTACGGCGATGTCAGTATGCTCCGAAAGAAGGCGTTGTGCAGATGCAAATCTTACGCGATTATAGATTAACAAAAGCGGAGTAACGAAAAAAGGAGACTTCTCGCGCTTGCAAAGAAAGAAGGGGAGAGCGTCGTAGCCCCGCGAAAAAAGATGATTTCAGTCACGTGATTTACAGTGCACAAATTCCGATTGTTAGCGCGGGGACGACCAACATCTTCTGCTTCGCTGCTTCTTTACTTCTACGATAAAGGCCGACACCCGTTGAACCGTCTCCACTCTTTCTATTTTTGAGTCTTCGTTCTTTTATATTTTTAAAACAACGCCACTCTGCTTTTTTTTTTTTTTTTTTTTTTTTTGCCCGACGTGTAAACAATCGCGTATCCTGGCTTTGTTTGGCTTAGTTTTTACTGCCTTTCCTTCGCTTCGGCGCTTACTACCCCCGGTTCGTCTGCTACGCTAGGCCCGGGCATTTTGAGGGCCGTCTGCGACTTTGCTGTTGTTGTTGTTTTCTTCCACTGTCGTCTGCGATAACCTCCTATTTTCGCCTTCGATTGAGTTTCTAATCCAAAATCGTCATACGTGCGTTTTGATATTTATTAAATATATTAAGAAGTGTAAGCTCGTTACCCATTTTTATTCGAATTTTATTTGTGTACTCCGGCCGGCACGTCTGCTACGGGTCATCGTTTGTTGATCAACCGGCCGCATTCAAGAACAAGTTTGTGCGATGTGCTGCCTACCATTGCAAGAACAAGTTTGTGCGATGTGGTGAAAAATCTTTCTTCTGCTTCCTACGTCAACCTACGGACACCTACGTCAACAAGTACTTGAATGTACGTACTTTTAAACTGCTTCGTCAAGCGAGCGAACGAACAACCCACCAAAGTCACTGGAAAAAGAAATTCGAAAGCAAAAAAAAAGGTTACTCACTGCTGGCACATATAGAAGATTGCTGCCTGCGACCAAAACATTTCTGCGACTCTTTTTTACCGGGCAGTGTTAGCTGCACTAAGTTATTTATTCCCCCTGTTTTGTTTTTAGTTCGTACCTACGCCACGAAAGCAAATAAAGAAATGTACAACAACCAGCTGAAAAAGAAAGGGACGCTTTCTTCTTTTTTCATTAGTTTCGTCTGTTGCTTCCGCTTTGTTTGTCGTGAACTCAACACCGGTGGCGACCATCAGCTATTCATTTGCTGCTTTCCATTTTTCTTTCTTTTTTTCTATAAGCGCCGCAACGATAGTCGTCGTTGAAATAGTTTTTTTGCTAGCTTCTTTGTTTTATTCGCCGTTGTTCGCTTTTCTTTCCCGTTTCTTCTTATTTTCGTCGGGAATGGCGACACTATTTTTTCTGCAAAGTTCGGAAAGTGTTTGCACGTTCATTTTTATCCTTACTTTTTTCTTTTGTTTTTATGCTCCAGCAGCTCGTGCCCTTGCTCTGGTAATATCAACATGTCGTTTTTGCATGTTTTAACGATTACGACGTAGTTCGAGTAGCTAAACGCCTTTTTTCTTTAAATTTCTTCAAAGTAGCTAAACGCCTTTTTTCCGCTTCCCCGACGCGTTTCAAACGCGTGTGATCTTCCTGAGTGGCGTTTGAGCCCGCTGAATAAACTGCCCTATCTTTGTTTATGCGCGCGTTGTTATTCGATTGTCGTTGCAGTTGCGATCAGTGGATTCCGCTTTGCAAGCGAACTGACCGTAATAAATTGTTTCTGCTGTTAGGGTGACGATACGGGGCTCGTAAAGCTCGAGGACGTCGCGGAGCCTATACTTTTCCATTGCGACGACTGCTTCCGTAGACTTCGAGTCCGCTAGAGGCGCCACTGTCACGTTCGCCGCCGCTCCTATGTGTTTTCGGAGGAGTTTCCAGTATTGGCGAAGCTATCTCGTATTTGGACTAAGTTCTGGGCTGTACAAACATACACACACACCAGTTTGTTTTTCTCGCGTCAGAAACTGTAATTGTACCCCTGTGTTTGGTCAGACTAAAGTCCTGAGTCGCTTTTAATGCAGAAAAGCCAGATGCATTTATGAGGCAAAAACCATCATAAATCGAGGAGGCGTACGCATTACTGCACGATCTGTAGCACTATCCGAGGAAAGATGCTGTACCTCCACGTTGTTTGTTGACCCGGCCTGTTTTCTTTACTTCTCATTTTTTTTCAAACGGCTAATCTTCCCTAGAAATTTTTAAGCATGTGCGTCATTTGATTTAACAATGCATTTTTATTAAAACATGTTTTTTTTTCTTTTTTGTATCAAAACATTTTTCACTTCCTTTTAGTCTTTCTTTATTTGTGAATTAAACTATCAGTTGGTATTAGCGCTTGACGTGTTTGTATCTTCGTCTTGTTCTTGTCCGTTGCGCTAATTATTTTCACGTGGAATAAAACTTTTTTCCAAAGCGGCAAACCCCAAACCTTCTAATAAACGATCGATTACACGTACGCAAACTAAAGGAATATAAACGAAGATCATTTCCAGCGATTGTTCAATGGTGGGTAGGAACAATTTTATATTTACCTTGAAGTAATGAAAGTTATAGTTTTATAGTTACAGAAATTGTTAATTTATTTAAAGACTATTATATTGAACAATAAAATACCTTAAAAACGTTAGTATTCTTATATTCAATCTAGTCCAATTTATTATAAGGTCGAAAATTATAGACATTATCTCATGGACAATTATGAGAGGTGATGTACGTTTCCTTGGTACAATATGCAAGATCAGTTTACCTGAAGTCTTCAAATGTACCCCAGTTTTCTCTAGAAAATTGTACATAACGTGTGAGCGGTACTTAAACGGTTTTTTAATTCTAAAACTATTATTTGAGCAGAACCTGAAAACTACTTATTTTTTCCTATGTCTATACATGTCGGTTCCTTGACTAATTTGCAAGTTACATGCCATTATTATATTGTCCTTGCATCTTTCTTTCGGACAATATTCAGTCCTATGTTTATAAATGTTTAAACTATATAACGCCATCCTCCCAGTCTTTAGCAGGTAAGCTGAAAATTAAATGAAACCACCCAAAAATTCAGGGTACTTTGTTTTCTGGCGCCCATATTTTTAAAGGGGTGACCCTTAGATGAACACCGTATTCACTTCCTTCTTTTGGGGTTCGATGGGTTGTTGGGGTGATAACTATGGCCATTACATCTTTAACTAAGATATACCCGTTAATTTTGTATTTAATTACTGATTTTATGGTTTACGTTGGAATTAAAGTGATGAAAGAAAATATTATTAGAGCCAATTTAGCAAGTAGAACTTCCGCGACGCTAGCAAGCTGTGATGTACCTAATGATTGGCTAGCGTGGGACCAGCGCTCCAAACAACTTCTTGGTGCAGAAAATAACACCAAGTGCCAGTGCAAGGGTTTTCGCTACTCAAAGGATGACGGGCTGTTTTTACGTTCAATTTTGATATCAGACGAGGAAATGTTATCGAATTATGTTACATATCATAAATTTTCTTGTTTTGTTTGTGCCCAGCCTGAAAGATCTCCAATAAATGCGACATTCACGTAATACACAAAGCAGTTTTAAATGCTTTCCATTGAAAGAGAATCTATATGCGTATGAGTGGGTCAGAAATTAACAATGAGACCATTCTATAGAAAATGGTCACCCTTCGGACAACCTTTAGGTAAGTAAGCTGAAATGAAATGAAATGACGTGTGCGCAAAGATTGTTGTTTCACAACACAAAGCATAGAGCCGTCAACAAAAATTTGCGGCGCGCGCCCGCTCTCAAGATTCACGCTTCAAGAATAAGCTTCATTTCGTGCTCGCAGTCATGTCTTATTTACTCGCTTCCATCCAACGCACGCGAGATAACCGGGACAGGTCCAGGATGCCGCTTTGTCAGCCGTCATGCCGCGCGTCTGCCTCACTATAGCCACCGTGTTGGGTGACGGAGGTTGCATGATACATATAACATTTCGCGGTACCTTGAAACAATCCGTGTTATCTCGTATGCGTCGGACAAAAGCGAGCAAAAAAGAAAAAAAAAAAAAAGAGTGTTAACGCGGGAGGAAGCGCATGCGCAAAGCGCAAGTCTCGAGAGCTGCAACGCGCCGCCAGAAGGCGCAGCAAGTCTTTTCGGCTGGCGCTCCCGTGCCCCGCAAACAATTGTGGCCCACTGTACTTTTGAAAAGTGGTCATTCGGTGGCAATTTATGTTTTGAGCCAATATAAAGAAGACAAAATTGTAATGCTTACGCCCCGTGCACTTTCTGAATAAAATGCCCAGTTTCTGATCAATGGACTGGTCTCCCTTATGATAAGTCAGTCGATTTAGTAATTCTGAAATATATAAATGTTAAATTGGAGAGGATGAAAGGTAAGTAAACTGCCGCACAGGATAACTATTAGAGTTTACAGTGACTTCAGGAGGCGAGCACTTGTACAGTGTCGTTTTATATGTTCTCAACATTAGAGGAAAACGTATGGGAAATTCAGTATTCAGTTCGGTAAAATCGTATTTTTGCAGAATTGAAAAAAATCAAAATATTCTTTTAGAATTTTGAAAAACTCATTGCAATTTGGCTTTTCGCCAACCTACTTATTTGCGCTAGCATTTGCGTATTTCGAGCAGAATTAAAGCATTTCCACCCAAGTGGCATTAAATATTTCTCACAAAATTATTCCTGTTGATATTTATCTCAAATTTGAGTTAAAAGGATTCACTACATATCTATGCCCCATTAAGAAGAATCATTCTCAATGATATATTCTTTTATAGAGTTTTGCAATTTTGACACTTCGTGTTATTAGTTCAGCAAAGCAATTACAATACCTCTAATTTTGACCAGGTATACATAAAAATAAGCTCTGTTACGTACGTCTCATATTCTGGTCTCTTCTGTTCGCTGCTTCTGTGAATCGGTTAACTGCAGAAATGTCTCTCGGAATTTGTGTATCTTTCTTCCACTTCCCGCATGCATATGCAAAGAAGTCGACGCAAGGATCCGCCTTGGTGTCGATGGCGTCAATAATTTGTTTTGCTGAAAGATATTTTCAAAGGAATAAATATTTTACATTTTTGTTCCACGATTACTTCACGTTTATGCAGATCAATAAGAAACGAGAATACATTTTAGAAAGAAGTATTTTTTACCCGGGCAGCAAAAAGAATGTTTATTCTTCCCACTAACACACTATTTCTAAACAACGTTGGCTATTATTTAATCCTCGCTACATAATTAGATATCTGGAACCCGAATAAAAGAAAACTTTTTCACAGTCCAAAATACCTATTGCACCTGAAAAAAACTTTCTTTCGCATAAACTCTAGTTTAATTTTTTTTTGTATATTTTTAGTTAGAGGTTAAGTTCCAACTGCAATGCAAGGGTTTGAAAATTAGATATCAAAAGTCAAGACGTTGATTTCTTCAAATATAATGTGCTAGGACTTATAATATAACTGAAGCATTCTAAGCTCCTCGCTAGCATTTACAAAATTATAGTCTCAATTAGCATTACATCAAAGTGTAATTTATATTAGGATACCTATCTATCCTGGTGTAGATGGATGCCTTATTAACTAGATCGTTACGTAAAATGACTGAGATCCAGTGTTTTTCTTAATGTAACCGAGTTGAACACACGCTTTTAAATTCAAATTTATCTTTCATGTGAACAGAAAACAAGAATAGGCATAATGTCTATAGAGGCTTTTTCTTTAGTTTTTCCAAATTTACTGAAAAAAAAAACTGCTCGGATAACTACATTTATCTGGTCTGCGCAGGTGAGCGATACGGTCACGGGTAGATAAAATGGAAGATTAAATGTCACGATAAGTGGAATAAATAACTGAAATCTGTTAATTAAAGTTTTAAGTGGTAAAAAACAAAACAAACCGTGATAAATATAAACTTGCTGAGCGTCATCTAAAAGCAGTAAATCAGTAATTCTTGCAAGATATAAAGCGCGGGAGATGTGCAGCAGTCCTCTAAAGTTACTACTCCTGCAACATACATAAAGCTAGGGGTAACGAGGATGATAAGACCACCGCGCGCTTAGCACCCGCGTTTTCTATGCTTCGTTACCGCTCCAAGTATTTTTAAGTCGTACTGATTTCATAGGCAGTGATGATTCTCAATCAGTTTCTAATTGAAACCACGCGTTTATTTTTACTAATTAAATAGTTAATTACCAGAGTGCTGTGAATTATTTAACTTATCGCTACGATTTTTCTTCTTTGTTATGTAACCCTTACAATATAATCCACCTGCGCAAACTGCATTTGTTTCGCTTTCGTTTTTTTTTTAAGGCAAAGTTGCAAAACGTAAACAAGCACCATTAATATAGACGTTTCAGGGTACGGCCCTTGGGCTCGGGCATTTTATTGCGTACTCACGGTTACCAGACTGGCGTTCAAAGAAAGCATTTTGTAGCGTGAGCTGCAAAATGCTTTCTTTGAACGTCCAAGGTTGAGCAGCTTCGCGTGGCTCCCAAAGAGCCATGCTGCGCATGCGCGAGGAGCAGTGACGTCACACGGCGCACAGCTGGCGCGCCGGAGCAGCCGCTGCCGCGCGCTCCGCCGCCGCCGCAAAGGCGCCTCGCCGGTCTGCGCATTCCAGAGGAGTGACGTCCTAGCCGCGGCAGACGCACTGGCGCCGCCGCGTGCCCAGCTGTGCTCCTCCGTTGGGCAGTAGCCAAGTCTGACGCTGCACCGGAGCCGCTTGATAGCGCCTCTCATTTTGCGCGCATAAGCTCACGCTACGTATATCCTGGCATAGCTGAGCTAAGCCACCACAATTTTTTTCGATCCATGGTGGCCAGACTAGCTCTCGAAGCACGGCTGCTGCAAGCGTGTATAAAACGACGTTTTACATAATTTTTGCATGGGTGCCGCCATCTTGTTATTACGTGAGCCTGCCGCTATAGCTGTCCTATGGATTCACGTCAACGGAGTGCGTTTTCTGATCTACCTGCCAGCAACGGAGATTTCTTTTAGAGCGCAGCTCTTAGGGGCCCGTTCCCGGCTTGAGCGGCGTCGGCGTCGCCATCGGCGTCGCCGTCGCCGTCGGCGTAACCAAGGTCATCCCAAGGTCACGTGGCCCCCAAGGTCATCCCAAGGTCACGTGACCCGGCAAGGTCATCCCAAGGTCACGTGACCCCTCCCCCAGGGTCACGTCACCCCCAAGGTCACGTGACACTCAAAGTCACGTCACCCCCTGAAGTCACGTGACCCCCCGAGGTCGCGTGACCCCCCGAGGTCACGTGACCCGCCCCCCAAAGTCACGTGACACCCCCAGGTCACGTGACCACCCCCAGGGTCACGTGACCCCCTCCGAGGTCACGTGACCTCCCCGATGACGTCATCGTCACTGATGACGTCATCGGATCCGCATCGTCATCGTCATCATCACTGATGACGATGACGATGCGGATGCCGGTGAGGTCATCAGTGACGTCACTGATGACGTCATCAGTGATGATGACGATGACGATGCGGATGCCGGTGACGTCATCAGTGACGATGACGTCATCGGGGAGGTCACGTGACCCTGGGGGTGGTCACGTGACCGGGGGTGTCACGTGACTTCGGGGCGGCATCCGCACCGTCATCGTCATCATCACATATGACGTCATCAGTGGCGTCACTGATGACGTCACAGACATCCGCATCGTCATCGTCATCATCGCTGATGACGTCATCGGAGTCAGCATCGTCATCGTCACTGATGACATCAACGGCATCGTCACGTGACCCCAAAGGTCACGTGACCCCCCCAGTACCCTTCCCTCCTCCTCCTCAAGAGCTGCGCTCTAATTCGGTGTTACAGGGAGTTGTAAACGGCGTTCACTTTTTTTGTGTGTATTATTATCTACTTTGAAGTTAGGTTGTTTTTTTTTTAAACAAGGTTGCTCTATTTTGTGCCACCAGTTAATCATCCTATAATTCTTGAGCCTGTGTGGTGATTTTGCATTATGATTTATTGAGCAGTATCGGATCCAGTCCACGACGCAAGAACATGACCCGAATAATACCTTTTTGAAAAGGGTAATCGAAAACATTCAACATTTTCACCAGCTCACAGAAACAATCAGGCCCGTGTAGCGACACCCGAGCTATCACTTTTCCGCATTGATATATTGGAAACAACTTTAGGCGCACTGTAGATGCAAATTCCTCGTCTTTCGCTAAAACGACGCAGGATGTACCAGAGTTATCAAGTTGGGGGAATATCATATAAGTGTAATTTGTAGGATTCACATGAGTACGAGAAATGGCCAAACGTTCGGGCTAAGGCACATGTGTACGACCTGCAACCATGTTTACGATTTGTCGCATTTGCTTGCACGGCTTAACTTGACGTGGAAACTATTCGAGGCATCGACAGGATGAAAGCGACAGGGAGGACTTTAAGTTGCCCCTCCTTCAGGGCGAGCTCTTTATACCTCACCAGCAATTCGGCGTCTCATGAGCTTGGAGCGCGCAAGCGTGGTCGAAGCACAACGAAAGGCGAAGAGCACGTGCAGAATGCCCAAAAAGGAGACGCCCTGTGGTCCTCATCCTGTGAGCGATTATGTTGTATCCTAATAAGCGCACGTACCTCCTAAACTTGCACGACATTTTTATGCGCAAACAATTTCTTGCGCTCATAAAAATCACGCGAACGACGACGTCCGGCTCAAAGTAAGTGAATGAACCTATTGTCCGTGTATATTAGACGGCACCGTATCATCAAAGTAGTGATGCTTTGATGACGCGCCATCGAAATGTGGAAGTGACCATTGCTAACGCCGCTTTCGTTCTTCTTTTCATTGGAGAACCGGTACATTGAAGCTGAAACTAGACATAGTTATTTCCTGAGCGCTGGTGGGGCATGGGTAGCGCTCACAGCGAGATGCCTGGAGTTAATGTCGGCACTGCAGTTTTTGCAAGCTACACCCAAGCGCGTTTTGCCCGCTGGATGCTTTTAAGCGTCCCACTGTTGTCGTTCATCGCGCGCCAGCGGTCATAAATGACGTCTCCTGTAAGACTGGAAGAATAGGCGCGATAAATTTTGGTGGCCAGCAATGGAAGCTCGGAGCGCACGCCGACTGGTGGCAACTCGGGTCACTCGGGTTACGTGAGGACGTACACTTTACTAAACAACACAATCAACGAAGAACGTTACGCAAATTTTTTTTTTAGAGCGCAGCTCTGAGGCACCCGTTTCCTGCTTGAGCGGCGTCGGCGTCGACGTCGGTGTCGCCGTCGGTGTAACCGCGGGTTGCAGTATGGGACGTTTCCTATAATGACGTCACATGTGACGTCACGTACGTCATCACGAGGGCCACGAGGAACGAGGAGGAGGAGGAGCAGATTTCCCCGCTAAATTTAGTGAAAAGAATCCCCCACTAAATTGAGCGGAAAGATTTCCCCGCTAGATTTAGGGGAAAAAATTTCCCGCTAAATTTAGGGCAAACATTTTCCCGCTAAATTTAGCTGGGAAGTTTTTTATGCTGAACTGAGCGGGGAATTTTCTTAACTAAAATTACCGGGAATTGTTGGGAAAATCTCTAGCTTAGTGGGAGGGGAGCAGGGGAGGAGGAGGACATGGGAGCAGGGAGAGGAGGGACATACCCTCCCCTCCTCCTTTTCAAGAGCTGCACTGTAAGTCGGCATTACAGGGAATCGTAAACGTCTTTCTTTTTCAGCACTGCTATATTATTTAGGTCGTTAATGTAAAAAATATATATAGGATATACATATCTGCACATGTTTTTTTTTTTTTTTTTATTCTCAAAACCGGCAGGGGGTGTGGGCCAGCATTTTTATTTTGACGAAAAACTCATATACGTTCAGAGCGCACTCTTGAAATGAAGTGAAGCGCAGACGGCAGGTCTAGTGGACTTTCCTTGTATTCAACCTATTGAACACTAAAGCCACCGAGGCGAAAATGTCCCACCGGTCGGGAGCTTATGTTTGACAACTCGCCATTTTGCCATTTCTGAAACTACGGGGTGCCCCCAAACCGGGGGAAGCCTTTAAAGTGATTGAAAAAAATTGGCTTGATAGCCTACCGCGCTACGATTTCCGACACAGGAGCCCGAAGGTGGTAGAAGCACCGCTTCAAAATTTCAACAAACGAACTTACCTGACTAAGGGTAAAAAGCAATAACTTGTTTACACAACCTACGGTGCGCCTATCTGCTAATCACGCACACTCTGACTGGCGCAACAGCCGATACATTGGGGAACAGGCCCCAACAGCTTAGGGTGCTACCCCTATGGCGGCTTGGGGTAGTTCAGCAGCTGCCCGGTCGCGCCAGATGCAGACGTCCTTTAGCTTGGATTACTTCATAAATGGCCTGTTTTATTTTTTGCGCGTGTCCATTTAATGTGTCTTATTAACACACAAAAAATCATACGTTTACTATTACAGCATTAAGAAGGCGCGCGCCGTTTATGTTCAGAAAAGGTTGTCTGTTTTTGTAACAAAAACAGACAACGTTTTCTAGTCATAAACGGCGCGCGCTTTTTTGGTACTCTAATTTGCAGTGTCTGATTATTTTTGGCGCGAACGCACGGCTGCTGAGCTGCTCTTTGCCCCAGGGACCGCGCTGCCACCATCTGCAGGTTTTTGCGCCAATCAGGGGGTGCGCGATTAGCAGACGGGTAGAAAAAAAATATTGTTTTTCTATTAAGTTTTTACTTTGGTAAGTTTAATTTTTTTTTAAACATTGATGCAATGCTTCCACCACCTTAAGGCAGCTTTGTGGCAAATCATAGCGCGATACGTTACCCTGCCGATTTATATGGTCACTTTAAAGGCTTTTCTCGATTCAGAAGCACTCGACACTGCACTAGGGCTCCTCTGATACAGTCTAGAAATAGATTTCAGTTTAAACCTACGTCCGAAATATATAGACTATTATAGGTAAAAAAAAGAACATGTCAAAAAGGTTTGTATAAACAAATTCTTCGACAGCTGACAAATTCAGGATTGTTTGTCTAAAAACTATTTATATATATTTTTATCGTTATTTGTGAGTAGCAAGGTATTATAGTGCTTTATCAGAAGATATGAAAAGCAGATAGATTATTTTCAGCGTAATTAAATCTTCAGTCTTATCATACGTGTATTGTGAATGCGTGTTCACATTCACCCCAATATTGTGGGATGAATGTATTACTATATTTAACTAATATTATTAATTCTCTTCAATTTTAATAACACATATTGCAGAAAGATTGCGTATTGCAAAACATTTTTTTATATGAGATTGTTCGCTACTATAATGCCCTGAGTCCCACAACACGTAACACCACAAAATATCTTACGCATGAAGTTCTGGACAAATGAAGAGGTACAATGAAACATAATCTAGCATATTATAACTGTCAATAGATTATAGATATAAACCAACACATTTATTTTTATACATCCCGCACTGTATGCAAGGTTTGAAAATTCAAGTTACAAAGAAAGTGTTTGCACTCCTAATAAAGAATAAAAAAATATTTTGGGGACTAATAAATACAAAGTAAAAGAGAAGTTCCGAAACTGCATGAAATATCGAAATCACTTGCCCTTCAACTGCATTTAAACATCGTCAGCACCTCTATCATCTGTACGATATCTCGTAACCTGATCATTAGATGGGGCGCCGCAGGCCTTCATGGTAGTGGCTACTTTATTTTTTCCGCGGCGCTAAGGCTTTTTATTTTTTACAAAAAAGTAATGTTATTACCATTACTTATGCTGTAACTATTACCTTATTTTCGAAGACCAGTTGCCTCGGATAATAAAACTTGCCTGCTTCATATTTCTTATAATTTTTAAAGTGTCATATTTTCAATCATGGAAAGACTATGTTCGTCGTTCAAGCTTATTTTATAAAGACGACATCAAATTCACTCTCTATAGTGAAGTTCAAAAAGCTCAGATTTCTTCAGAATTGTGTTTAATGTCTTGGATATGGTCATAAAAAAGGAGTAAATACCCGCATGTTTTCATTGACACGATGTAGGTAATAATAAACTTATTCACACAATTTTCTTTTCAAGGTCTGTAATAGCTGCGACAGCTTTCAGTAAGACGTTAATTTACCGAAATGAATTTGTCTAAATTTTCTAGTTAAAGAGTTTTCTTTTACTTACCCATCTTCCTACATTCCCCGGTCTTGCAAACCTTGTCATTATCTGGAATGAAACCACTTTAGTGTGAATTAAAATGGCGATTTAATTAAATATGCTCTCTAACCACTGTAGCAAGCCGGTTAAGTTGTCGCCTAATAATTATTATGCACATTTGGGTGCAAAGTATTTAAAATTGTGAGCCGTATTTTCGCTAGATGTTATCCCCCCAAAAATACAATGCGCGAGCTGTACACAAGGGCAATCAAGGTCCTGGCGGAAAGCAAGCGCAACCCACATTCCCCGGCTTTAACTGCCCTTCACGCAAGCCATATCTGCTGCGTGCGAAGTATGGTGGTGTCTTCACCTTAGCACCCCCAAGCGAATTTTACGCGCACTTTTTCGATGTGAGTATTGTGTATCTCCAAAACCGTATTTTGTGCCGATGATAATTAAAGTCAGCGTACAATCTACGATTTATTAAAAAATAAATTGAACTGCCATAAAGTATACAATACAGATGTTTGAAAACATGTATCACAAAGACGGCACTTGCACGTGTATTAAGCATTTTAATTGAAGTATGCAATAAAGGTATTTAAGCCTTAAAAGAGCGTAAAGTTGTATATGAACTAACTATTCCAAAGCACACTTTTGAAAGCACAGAAGTTTTATGCTTACTACGCGGTATTTCAAGTGACGAAGAATGATTGCCATTGCAGATAAAAGAAATTTCATGTAGTTAACAATGCCATTTTTTATTACTGAGCTTGCTTGGAATGAAACTTCTGAAAGCAACCTGCTGACTACATCAGTATTGAAGCCATTCGATAAGAACCTTAGCTTCTCCAGGATTTAAATAAGTGTTTTAGCGAAATCCTTGCTGCTACTTAAACGTTTACAAGTGAGTTTGCAAAGAAAAATGCGATCACTTTGGTGATTTCAATTGTCTGCAACGTGAGTAGTTCTAAAAAAAAAATGTTCTCACGTGAAAAAATAAAATTGTACCCAAGAGCATTTGTTTAAAACGTCATGGAAATGTGATTTTAAAGCGAATTTTAGCTGTAACGTTTAAAGCCATTGTCCTTTTTATTTTATTTTCTACCAATTTTTAGAGGAAAGAGATTAACACTGAAGCGCCGAAACCAAACAATATTCAGTCAATTGGCTTATTCGGGGCATGATTCAGTGCAAGGGTATTTGTGGAAAACCTTGAGCATGTTTTTTACAAGTTTAAAAAATATCATGGTATAATAATTACTCCGCCAAGCTAAGTGCTTTTTCACATGAATTACAAAAGTACTATACATGCTACGCTCGCTTAGCCGTAAATTTATCAAACCGACTCTGTTTCAACACAATCGTGTGATGAATAAATCTGGTACAGTGCAAAACAAACGTTGAGCCTATTTTGTTTCTCGTTCGTGAATTTTAGTACAAAAGATCTTTGGACGTGGTTTTTCTAGCGGTTTTCAAGCTCTAGCTCTTTTGCGGCCCACGGTTTATAAATAAATGTTAATAATTCTTTAGATACAAACCTTTTATAGCGACTTTATGCAATATGTTACATAATAAATGTAATAAATAAAAATTAATACATAATTTTCAAAAAGTCACTTTTTTAGTTGCTATACCTGTGTAAGCGTCATCACAACACAGGTAATTTTTAAATATTTAAAAACGTATATGTATATCGGATATTATAAACAATTAGAACAGCCTATGACCTTCAATACAGTTAGGGGCTCAGCCATAAATAGTGTTTGGGCTAAAATCTAAAAATGTTAAGTTGCGATTTTGTGATTGTAAGACTCGTAAGGCTGTTACCTGAAGTGTATGTAAGAATGCTCCATCCTGTATTCAGTACAGAAAGCACCCAAACAAGCGTAGTTAGTCTCATCGGTGTTTGAAGATGCATTTTCGGACTTCTCATTTTTGTGCGCCCTGAAATATACATTGCGAGATAAAAGAGGATGCATCTTGTTCAAACGCAAATATTTATACATAAAATAATGTATCTGCAGGAGGCAGATCTGCCTCCTGCAGATACATTATTTTATGTATACCCTACTGAAAAAAACCATTTGAAATTCAAACGGGTGGCAAACTGGTCGCCCGTTTGAATCAAACCTGTCGATCCGTTTGGATCAAACGTGATTATGGGATACGGGTACCCGTTTGGAAACGGTACCCGTTCGAAACGGTACCCGTTTGATACAGGTGCCCGTTTGATACGGGTGCCGTATGGTACGAGTACCCGTTCGACATGGCACGTGACCACACTTTTGAACGTGCACTTCGAAATGGCAAATTATGCGCTAGCCCTAAATGGGTATCGTCTGGGAGGTTGGTTATCTTAAACATATTTAAGACGTCCCGAAACTCATAAACGTATTTATAACATGGATAAAACACGTAGAACAAATGCACTCGCGTAGGTGCTTGTAAGTGGACAGGAAAACCGACACAAAAGATTGTTTTCAATTCTCCTCGAAGTTTATTACCTCTTCTGTAGACAAGTACAAACGTGCAAGCGATCTGTGAACACTATACAGGTAGACTTTCGGGGAAATTATTCTCCTGGCTGCCGCGCGAATAGGCGCTGCATACTTCTTTCGATAATTTAGAAGAGTACGCGTAGAAGAACGGTCAATCGTTGCCAACACGTAGGTTGCAGTGCACTTACCATAACAATAGCGGACTTGAAAGAGGTAATCCGTGATATTTGTCGACAGTCAAAGCAGGACAACCACACAAACACAAACGAGAGGGAACGGCTCCTTGGAAGTTTCAACACGATGCGGCGCACAAGCTGTCATTTGCCGAACCCAACCAAACCGCGAGAATTTGCGACTTCTTTGAAGAATCGCTCGTTGCCGACATACACGTGGGTCTTTTCGAACACTGATAGCTTTGGTGCACATCCAATACGTTGTCGAGAGACATCCCAATAAGACCGCAGGGTTAGGCGACAGATTGAAGCAGGTAGGACGAGCGAACTTCGAGCAGCAACTGACAAGAAGCAGACAAAGAAAAAAGCGGCTGCAAGGCGCGCCCTTCCGGATCTCGATGCTTATCAGCGTGTAGCTCGCGCGCTGCTGTGGGTCACGTGACAGGGGTGACAAGAGAGGGAGGGGGCGAGGTCAAGGCGCTGGGACCACTGGGACAGCCCCTCTCCCTCTCCCCAGGCATTCCAGGGAGATGCGTTTTTGTAGTCCCGAAGAACAAACGCGCGCGCGCGCGCGCGCTCGAACTTTGGAAATGGCGGCGGGGCTGCCAGAAGCTCGGCTTGCGCCCGCGCGAAGAAAGAACTCAGCGCAAGCTCGTAGTTTGAGTGCTGCAACGGCGGGCGTGCTCTCGCAATGCTCGATGTTCTTGCAGCCGCGTGTACGCGTGCTACCTTCGCTGCGTCTTGAATTAAAGTGAAACGGAGTCTAGACGTACATTCTTTCACGCGGTCGCGTCTTCTGCGAGAGAGATTCGAGCTGAATAAGTAAATTGAGGCAACAAAGATGGACAAAGTATTAAAGGTCTGTCAAAAATATCGGCTCACCTACGTCGCGCGTTTACGTAAAACAACAACAAAAAAAAAGTGTTAGTTTTAGTTGCAGTATAATCGAAAATCAGCGCAATAGAAATAGAAATATAATTACTTGCATAACGCGGACGATCTGAAATCGATGAACCGGCGCTCCCAGCCTTCCGGAAAACATTGGCTGCCACGGCTGAAACGCTAGGCGTGCCCACGCCGCCGATCTGTACGTTCAATATCAAACGGGCTCCGGAGAGCCGTTTGATTAAACCGGTGCAGTTTGCAACATGGTCGCCGGTTTGAGCAAACGTGCGACAACTTTGCCCAAACGAGTCGCCCATTTGCCCAGACGAGCGACCCGTTTGCCAAATAGGTGACCGTTATGGCTCATACGGGGGACCCCTTTGAGCCATACGGGCGACCCCTTTGACAAACTGGTGACCAGTATGGTTAAACGGTTACCGGTATGGACCCGTTTATTTTCATAAGGGCGCCAAATGGTTTTTTTCAGTAGGGGAGTAAAAGAGTAAACGCAACATATTTCTATCCGTGTAATATTAGAAACAAAAATAAAAGCAATATACAGTTCTTTATTTTTATTACAGAACCTCCCGCTTTCAAAACGTTTGTACCAACGCTTTACCAACGCGTGGATGCTACGGCAGAAACCATCTTGCCGGTGACTCCGAGGACAAGGATGCACCTCCGGTTTTAGCCTATCCCCTGTACGGAGCTTCATTCCGCCGAAAACTGCTTTGCTTGTTTCTAACAAATTAAAATTGCTCAATGTAAGGTGCTTTGAGTACGGCGGGTACTGAATGCACTGAAAACGTAGACTACTCTCACGATTGTGAACCGGAGAAGAAAATAGAAGAAGAGGAGAAGATAAACGAGGCGTGTTGTTTGAAAAACGAAGAAAGACGAGGAGGGGGACGAGTATCGAAGGGACGTGAAAGCACTGGTCCGGTGACCGACAGAGGCGACTTCAGCTACGCTCCGAAGGAAGGAAACCCGAGGCCCGCTTGCAGGAGTCCACCGTGAACCAACGAGGCGTCCTTCGTCAGAGCAGCAAGATGTTCTTCATCGAGGAAAGAAACACGCAAGCGCACACGAGCAGGGACACTTCAAGGTCGTGAGTGCCCGAGGCGGAGACTTGGTTCTAGGGGACTAAGACTATACTGTACTGCATGTTTGCTTATGCCTTGCGTTTTGGCTATTTGTGTAAATGTATGTAGTACATACGGTGGAATTTCGTAACCTGTTCGTCCTGTTCCTCTGATTTCGGGGTCCGTCTTGGTTGAACGCGACAACTATGCATATTTATGCAGTCACACGTGCCGTGTGGGGGTGGGCATTGCCGTGATGCAGGGACATACCGAAGTCAGCAAGCCACAGCGCTTTCACCTGATCACAGACTTCAAGTAGTTCTCGAGCAGGCCACAATACGTCGTGTTGCTGACGCTGAGTCCCCTGGGCATGTAATGTTGGATTATTGGTCCTCTATGGCCCCAGATGTCTACGAGCAGAACCGTGTCATGTGCCTTCTTTGGTCTTGGTGACGAAGTGTGCCTCCCAGCGGCGTAGACTTTCCATTTTCCCGGGGGGGGGGGGGGGGGCAGGGTCAGAAGTTTTCCGGAGGGGGGGTGCTTTTCTACGCAATTTCTACACCGACAATTATCAGTTGTTTATTTTAGGGGGTACATTTTACAGCGTATGTATATCGCCATGTGTCCGTCGCTGTGTGTCAATGTCAATCACCGTGCGAGCGTAGCCGTGTGTACATCGCCGGTACCACGGTGCACGCGCCGGCGAGCACGAACCTGAAATCTTTAGTAGCGACTCCATCGGAGTCGCTACTAAACGGACTTTTTGAACAGCTCCGGATGGAGTAGGCGCCCTTTATATGAATTTCCGGTAGTTTTGTTTATCTTTTCTTTTTTTTTTGTTTCTGGTGGGACATCGCAAGATGCAGGCTGCTAAGAAAGCAGACCAAGTGGACGTAAAAGTGATCGATGCCGCGTTACCTTCTCGCCAGAACTGAAGATCGAAGCGAACGAAAGCACGCTGTGATTCCATTGCCCATGTATTTTGTCAATAAAGGCAACGTGGGCGTTATTTTGTTTACATGCCACTACTAGAAGCTCGTTACATGGCACGTGAACAGCGTCGCGGTATGCTCGGTAAGGATCATGGCCCGGGGGGGGGGGGGGGGGGAGGGTGGAGGGGATCCCCCTGGATCTCGGGGGTATATCGGGGCTCGTGCCCCCCCCCCCCCCCCCCCCCCCCCCCCCCCTTGGTGAGATCCCCCTGGATCTCACCAGGGGGGGCACGGGCCCCGATATACCCCCGTAGTCTACGCCTATGGTGCCTCCCCACTTTGCTTGCCGGCTTGGTCTATGGCTGGGCATAGTGAATTCAATGTTCGTCCCCGGTAACAATGCTTTTACAAAAATAGTCTCTCTCAGCTTTATAGTGTCGGAGCAGCGTCTCGCACACGTCCACATGGCGCTCCTTAATGTGTAGCCTATGTTGACTTGGCGTTCACCTAGCGGACGTTTTATGTTACTGCAAATTAACATGTATACTGTAGAGTCCCTAGACATGACTAATATTGAATTTTTCAGCCATTTTACTGACAGGGACTTGGCGGGATTCTTGTACAACTGTTTGACTTCTCATACTGAGTGCAGCGTCGTCGAAGTATGAGTGAGCCCAGCCGGGAGCGGGGTGCATCAGTCAGAATTGACTCTACGTTTTGAAACATTTTTTACCGCACGCACAGTTATCGAAGCCCAATACGGGCGCCTCCATACCGCTTCAACATCTTGTGATGAATGTCTGCGGACTTCTTTATTCTGTGGACCCAAAACTACAATTAATGAGCGCTGCCCCTCCCTGGTGCACGCGCTCAAGAGGGCGGCCGATTTGAGAGTGCTGCATTTACCTGACATTTTTTAGCAAGTCGCTGGATCGGCGTACACGGCTTACTTGAATGGAGGGCCAAATAATATTTGAAGCACAGCAGTCTATAGTAAGCTTTCGATTCTTTGACTAAAATTTGGTTTCTTTTTACTCTGCCTTGTATATAGAACACCTTCGATAATCTGCAAGAAAAATTCTGTTAGATGTTGAAAGGGCTCAATTAACCATTAAGCTTTTCGTTTTGTTAATATAGTGCTTTATTTACCAAAAATATATTAGTTCTTAACTCGTTTACGTTCTTCAGTACTACTCGCAGGACCTAATACTGGGCATGGATTTTCTCTGTAAATACGGCGCCACCAACGACCTTGAAGCGAACAGGCTAACGCTGCGAGAAGCTATCCCTACGTCGAAATATCACGATGCGACATGAGCTACGGTACGAGTCCTTGCCGACCACGTGA